TTGTCATTAAAAAAAATTCATGAATTTACAATTTGATTCTTATCTCCACCTTTATATATATATATATATAAAAATTCTGTTATATTTCAAGTATTTAAGTGTACAATTTTATGAATTCATATTCAAGTTATATTTTGGCCACTTCCGGAAAGCTACTTTCGAGGTAGAAATTTTAACATGTATGGTCTTTTTCAAAAATATCTTGTTGATCTGTTTTTAAATTATTCGAATTGAAATTGAATTTGATACGCTATATTTTGTATTAACTCAGATATACTTTTAGTACTTCCTTAAATCTTTATTTTATAACAAGCAATAATTCGTAATAAAAAGAAAAATGCAAAATTTAAATTGATATATAATATTTTTTATACAAAAGCTACAAAAAAGAAATCCTTTACCAAGATGTTAAAAAAAAAACATGTAACTAGAGTTCCTCTTTCATTTTTCCATCGTAACATTTACAGGAGTGTTTAGGTTGCAGCACTTCTTCCATATTATTCAGTATCTTAACTTCGCTCTTTAAGCGTTTATTCCATTCCTAAAATGTAAAAATCGTGTTATTCTATGACATATTTAAAAAGAATAAATGAAGTTAAATCTGTCTAATTATACGTGAATTTCTTACATTAAATAATACTACGTGGTAACATAATACATCACGAGGTAGCAAATTGTCTCTTGCAAATTGTCTAGCAGTTTTAGCTATTTCTAGCGCATCTTTATCATGCTCCTTAGCCCACGTAATTTTTTTAACGAGATTTGATAAGTCACTTTCTACAGGCACATAGTGTTTACCAGGTATAAGATCATTATAAAAGAATTCATAGTATTTTGATTTCTGTTTAAGTACCAAGGAATCTCCGGCAAGCAAATACGGAAATCTGTATGCAGCAACACTACCGTCAATATTTAGCTGGTATTTATACTGCATAAATATTAACAATATTATTTTTATCGTTCATTATAGATCTATGATATCATTATATATCTGTATTTTTTACCTCAAAAAAATTAAATAATGATATATGCTTCTGTCCAGGGCCATACTTGTCTATCTGATCTTTAAAGAAAAAGAAATTAGTAATTGAAGCATTAAACAAATCAGGATGTTTTCTTGAAATATCAATTAGATCTAGTCGTTCTTGACGAGAATCACGGCCACGCCAAAATAGTTTCTCTTTCTTTTTCTTCCATGGTGTGTCTATGTTACCTTGTACAGATAGTACATCTAACATTACCCTGTTTTATGAACAATATACTGTATATTTGTTAAATTAGTGATATAAAATTTGGTAAAATTCATACCTTCCCATTGCTTCTAGAGATGATTCAGTAATATCATAAGTAGGCATAACAATATCCTTCGTATCTATGGAACCACACCAAGAAAAAATTGGGTAGTTCTTACCATTTTGGGGCACAAGTGGCCAATCCCCCAAATTCACAAAAAGTTCTATATCTGGCAAGATAACTTTTCGAGTAAGAGATAATAAAATTGAATCCATGAATATTTTAAAGCCCACGTGTTTGCCATAACAGTGTCTAAAAATCTTGTTACACCTATTTTAATTCAAACACAGTTTCAAACAAATTAAAATATAGGAACATTAGTACTCACTTTATTGGTTTTAACTACATAATGACAAAGACTGACACTTCCTGGTTGATCATATTCTTTTATAATGTTTTGGCGTATTTTATTAAAATCTACATTAGTAAAAGGTAATAGATCGTTAGACATTTGCGTATAATTCGTGGAACACTCCATATTTTTTATCCATTTGTTAATAGAAGGATGTGGGCAATAACATTCTTCTTCATAGACAGGTCCTAAGCATTTATATTAGAAATCTTTTTATAATGTAAAATATTTAACAGTGATATAAATTTATACTACTATAGATTAATCATCAAACTAAACAATACCTTTGAATTCCATCGATAGAATAAGGACATGTTTCACTTTAAATTTTAATTTTAAATTGAAACAAGTATGATCTAATCTATATCTCACAATGAAACTTCCATCCTTGCAATCTAAAATTTGTGTTCCTATATGACATGTATGTCCAGATAATGTTTGGCCTTGTATGTGGGCAGAAACTATGTCTTTTCCCTGTGATTCTGTTAAACTTAAAAATATTTAAATCATCAGAAGAATGCATGTATATAATAAATACAAGAAATAAAATATTATTATTTCAATCAATTGATAAATTATTTTTCTAAATAAAAAACATACTTTTTTCCGTTTGAGTCAACCAGTTGAAAGAAAATATATCGTGCTCGCATTGTTATTTTATCTGGTTTTAATCCAGGACCCCAGATGATTGTTTTAGACGGATCAATTTCAACAACTATTCCTTCTTTACAAATAAGCAACAATACAAACAGTGAAAACAACATTTTTGTCAACATTATTGTTTACAATACAAGATCTACAATTAACTGAGTCAATTCTTTAAACTGACGTCTTTGTAAAAATACTTCACGATTTCCGAAACTGATTAGAGAAGATACTGTTGTACCATTGTACAATAAATATAAGTTTTTAATAAATTCAATTCTGTTATTTATCACAGAGAGAGAGAGAGAGAGAGAGAGAGAGAGAGAGAGAGAGAGAGTGCGGTCCACAGAGCAGCTTCACACAAATGCATCTGAAGTTGCCCAAAATCGTGACAAATTCATTTGATTGGTATCGCGCATTTGATTCTCTTTAATATACTTTTTTTTAAATTAAATATTTTATTATTATGTTCCTTATGCATCAGTAAGTATAAACATTTACTGTACTATACAGGCGAAGATAGTAATTAATAAGTATATATCATCTACATCTTTTTATCATCTTTTTATTCTTTCATTCAGTTACATGATTGTGCAATTTACATTTGGCGCGGCGAAGTTCATGGCAGTCAACATTTTAAGACAAAACTATGTTGTTCGTTGTCCCACAGAGGGTTCTTGTAGTAGTACCATTGCAGCACAAAAGATGTACTCTGTGGCATAGTTGTCTGACACTAGGTTATCATTGTTTACTAGAGTCATAATAATTTTTTATATGGCCTATATTTCGTAGAATAATAATTGTCGAAAATGAATAGAAATGTTTACAATGTAGCGAGAGACGTTTAAATTTGTTTCGTTCAGACCTCAGGGATTCCTTAATTTGTCAGCATCTCTAGAAAGTGATAACGAAACATGATTCTTAACTGCCTACAATTATAGTTTCACTATTCTTCGAATAATTCGAATCTCGAAAGCAGCGTGCTTTTAATACAGATATTTCGTGTGAAATGGAGTGCAGGATCGACGATTTACCAGATGTTTTGTTAGAGTACATTTTAAGCTTAATTCCACCTTACAAAGATCTTCAAGAATGTAAACTTGTGTCCAAAAGATGGTTTCATGCAACTAAAAGTACATCAGATTTTTATATTCAATTTTTAATGTATATTTGCAGCTAGGATAATCATGGTAAAAATGTTCATTTTTGTTACAGATGTAATACAGCACAACAAAGCACATTTTCAAAAATCTGTGGCTTATGGATCATTGCTTTGGAGTGCTTGGCCATGTTCTATAGATTGGATGCCTACCATAGGAAAGAGACACTCCCATTCAGCTTGCATGTATGATAATTCTATGTATGTTTTTGGAGGCTGTACTGCTACATGTACAACATTTAATGACTTATGGAGATTAGATCTGGACACAAGAACATGGGTTAGATTAATTACCATGGGAAGCTATCCATCTCCTAAATCTTGTGCTACTATGTTATATTATAAAAAAAGTTTTATATTATTTGGTGGATGGTCTTATCCTTCCCCTTATCCTTTACACCAGGTATATACATCTTTACTCAGCTAGTTAATTATTTAATATGCAAATAATTATTGACACATTCCTTTAATTACATTTTGTATATTTGCAGCAATGGAAACTATTCAATGAATTACATGTATATTCTATAGAATCAAATAAATGGATTGTTATAAATACACTAGAGTCACCTCCACCTACATCAGCACATTCAGCATCGATTCATAAAAATAATATGGTTGTGTTTGGTGGTATATGTAATGGATATAGGTAATATATTTTAAACCATTCATGTCTTGACACTCCAATTTCATTTAATAACAAGGACATTATGTTATTTTGAGGCAGATCCAATGACGTATGGTGTTTGAACTTGGATTCTTATAGTTGGCACAAACAAACTACATCAAATTTAAAGCCACATCCACGTTATGGACAGTCTCAGATTGAACTAGGAGATTACCACCTTCTTGTACTAGGTATTCCTTACATAAAATAAGCTTTTATTATGAACTAATGTATTATTTGCTTTGACTAATGATTACAAAATTAGGAGGCTGCACTGGACCTAATGTTGCTATGAATGATGTCTGGTTGTTAAAAATGGAAGGCACAACTTGGACATGGAAAAAAGTGCATATGCACAATACAAAATGGGCCCCAACAAGGATTTGGTGCAATCAAGCTTGTAAGGTAATGATACGAAATACAGTAAACAATAACTTATTATAAAGCAAAATAAAATAATTTAACATAAAAAATAATGTTCTGATACTATAGGTGGGAAATTATGTTATTGTTTTAAGTATAAATAAATGCCAGAAAAAATCAAATGATATGAATATATCACTAAAAAAAGTCACTAGTCAAAGAACAGCACCACCACGGACATGCGATTCCGACAATTCCCATGAAAGGTTTGACGAAATGAAAATAACAATATATGACTTCTAATTATAGATAAATTCACGAATATAATTTTTCAGACAAGAAAATGATTCACGTATTGACAGAGATGTGAATGTTAACGGTCGACACGGATCTTTTTCAAGAGCCTCTGTGCAGAATGCGCACTCCTCATCTCATCCCCCTAACTTCACAAAGAGTTTACCATTATGTAACGATAATGTTTTAAGCATGGCTGCTTTCCGCGATGAACCAGTACGTAATGGTTCGAACAGCAATCGACAACGTCAATTAGAATCAATCAGGAGAATGGAAGAAAGAATTAGAAATCGAATAACGCAATTAAAAGCTACAAAACGAACTGGAAACACATTATCCATTTTTGTATTGGACATTACGAATGTTCTGTGTGATGAGTGCAGTGCTTCATGGATTCCTTTAAAGCACAATAATCAATCAGGTCCCGACGAGAGGATACTTTATTCATTGGTTGCAGGAAGAGGTGAATTAATAGTATTCGGTGGTATTCGGAAGGAGCAGACGTCTTTACAGAGTCATCCAGACATGGACGAGTCTGAGGTTTACAATGATCTTTATTTTATAAATCCACCAAGATATGTTATTTAATATTCTGCAATAAAAAAACAATACTAATTACGTTAGTGTTGTATTAACTTTAGTTGTACGACGAGAACAGTATTTGCTGAAGATTATTTTAACATTGAAGGTATATGCAGTTCATTAATTTAAGACAATTTTATAAATATCTTGTGATAAATATTTAAAATGTTGATTTATTTCCTTTTAAAATCGGCGTTATATGTAAAATTAATTATTTTTAAAACGAGGATTTATGAACTTTATGACGAGGATTTATAACATATTAGCTTTACATAACTATAGTATATATAATTGAAAACTCGCTAAATTTCATTATAAAATCATTTATTTACATAATTTCCAAGCAATGTAATTTATTGAATGGTTTAATCTTCTTCTCCTTCACCTTCAACTGTTTTTAAACTACCGAACACTTGTGACGGTATCATTTGTTTCTCGATAGGAATATCTGAAAGTAAAAAATATTTAATTAAAAGACAAAGTATAAAATGTGTACGTTGCTATGAAAAACTTGTCCAGAAAGATTTATAAATGCATTTCATGTGATCAACACTAATAAAAGTCTAAGTGTGTTATTGTAGACTCTACATTACCTTCCTCTATATCTGCCTCGTTATCATTGGCATCATCGTCTATATCAATATCTATTTCGTCCGGATTATTCACTTGAGCTTCTGCTTTGCCATCTTTCTCCGTTACACCACGAACGAATTTAATACTATCCTTGTAGGCAGCAGTATTGTCTATTACATTGAAGGAATTGTATTAGAAAAGATAAAAACGTTCTACAAGTTGTAAATGCTTTCTCATAAAAACTTTTGTAAATTACCTGTGCTTGGTGTTTTAATATCCAAAAGTCGCATAGCGTCCACTGGTACATCAACGGGTGGATTTGATGCATTATTCAACATTTGTGCAGACATCATATTCACTTGAGTATTATACATAGCTTGAACGCTGCGTTTAATTCGAAGCATTTCACGCATTGTATCTTCATTGCCGTGTCTCACTTCGAACTCTTTCCATATTTGCCAGAAATTTGACGTTACCTAAATAAGACATGCATATAGGATAACTTCATTGTTTCAACATTAATATAAATTGTACTATAGAATAGTATTTCATACTCTTGGATCACATATCTGACTGCAATGTGCATATATTGCTCTAGCTCTGTCAACTTCTCCTAACTTTGTTTCCATTTCTGCAAACCGTAGACACATTTCTCTTGTATTTTCTTCGTTAAGAACTTCAATAGCTTTTTCATATATTTGCCGTGTCTTTGGTACACCATAAATGTCCGCTGCTTTCTTTATGTATATATTGAACATCTGTAACGATATAAATAGTTTGCTAATTCTTATATTTTCACAACATTATCAAAACATATTTATCAATGATATCATTGAATATATTACCTCAAACCTTTCTTCAGGAAGTACTGCACTTGTTGCCCGTTCATACACTGACATTGCATGTCTGGCTAAACCATGTTCTTCTTCTAATTTTGCATACAATAAATACAAAGCTGCAACAGAATATAATTAGAAATCGTTACGTGATTAAAAGTTGTTGACTAAATAAAATATTAAAGGGCAATACCTTTGGCATATTTTGGTGGACAGTGTTCGAGGCATTGTTCAAACAAATCTCGTGTTCTTTCTAATTTAGTGCCACCGTAACGTTTTAAGAATTTTGTAAGATAAGTATTCCATATATCATAAACATTGGGCCATTTGAAAAGTGCAATTCCTTTTTCATAAGCCTATTAAAAACATTTAAACATTGCAGCCATTTGAGCTTGCCAATGAAATTTCAATAAAAATAGAGAGAAATATTTTACTTACCCTAAAGGCTTCTTCAAAATACTTATTTTCCTCTAGAAAGAGTCCGTAATTAATGATAATTTGTGGTGTGGCAATTTTTAAATCTATGATTTTGTCATACACAGCTTTGCATGTCTGGATTAAAAAATATAAAAGTTACAAATTGTGAAAAAAATTGTAAACAAAAAAAAATTATATTTTCGNAAATATAAAAGTTACAAATTGTGAAAAAAATTGTAAACAAAAAAAAATTATATTTTCGTACATAAGAGTACCTTAAATGTTCCAAAACATAACCTTGACATATTTAAAAAGAATAAATGAAGTTAAATCTGTCTAATTATAC